CGGAGCCTTCAGCACTCAGCCCTCCGTCGGCATCTATGGGAACTGCAACCACGCACAACACCATCCTCGACATTTCTAGCGAGGGGGATCTTGAAGCAAGCAGCTTCTTTGATGTTTCGTCAATACGGAATCTCTTGTCAACGCAGCTGACCCTACCTGAGCCGACCAACTCGACTGACCTCGTTGCCAGAGAAGTACTCCTACAAGATCGCGTTACTTTTGCGGATTTCGATCGTGTACTGGATACGCTACCATCCTCAGTGCTTTCGGATCGGTCCATCTTCCAACCGGATGACATCGCATGTGGTTCGGTGCCTTCTACATCTCTTCTCTCCGGCGCTTACATCCATGGTCCTCATGCTGGTCTTCATTCTGCGTTGAGGGTTTATCCCTGGCTCACCCGGTTGCTAGTTTGTGTCGCTCGGACGCAAGTCCCGAATCTTATTTTTTCATCGGTGTCCATCAATCGCAACTGTGTTGCTCGTATGCATCGTGATTCTCACAATCATGCCTTATTCAACAACCATATCATTCCTTTGTCTGTCTTTGAAGATGGACACCTTTGGATTGAGCATCCACAAGGCACCATTACCCTTAATGATGTACCGGGAAATGCTGTACCAGTTCAGCTACCGTTCCTTGCTTTTGATCCTAGGTTACGACATGCTACCTTACCCTGGCAAGGAACCCGAACAATCCTCATCGCGTTTCACATTCGTTCCGCTTGGAGACTCTCTGAAGCCGATTTAGCTTCTCTCCGAAGCTGTGGATTCACGCCTCATGTTAGCGACGTGCGCGAAGATCCATACCTGTAAAGAGACGGACAAAAGACAAACTGTCTGCTTCTGCCTCTGCCTGTTGCCTATACGTGTACAAGCCTGTACAAGCCTGTTTGTAGCTTTTGCTCAAGTGTCTTGTGGCTTTTGCTTCGACTTGCCATGCAACGTGCCGATATTCTCGGGTCAGCACTGGATCCGCTTTTGCCTCTTCAGCGCTGGATACAGTACACTCAAGGCGAGTTGCAGTCTCTTCGAGCAGACTGCCGACATCATTTTGAGCAGATTACTTCAACTGAGCGTATTCAGCAGAGTCAGCTTGACTCGTTGCAATCTCAAATCAGAGAGCTTGCTCAACAGCAAGCCCAATTTTCAGCTGAAATGACAGAGATTGCCAACACAGTGACAGATCTTTGCAGTAAGATACAGGAAACCCAGACCACGCTTAGAGGTCTTGTACAGGAGGTTCTCACACATTTCTCAACGCAGCAGCAATCAACACTGCCGGCTACACAGGTAGCCATCACGCAGCCGGATGTGCCGTAAAGAGTTTACAAAAATCTACGGCTCACCTGTTCAGTAGTGTTTGTTGTAACCAACGTTTGTGGTTCTGACTGCGGTTTCTGAATTGCAGCCGTTTGTTTTTGATCCAGCGTTTAGACAGCTGCCTCTTGCGTCCATTTACCATGAGCGATCGGCAGCAAGATGTTCCCGAACAAGCAGCGTCTCCTCGTGCGTCGTCGTCGGCACAGTCCCCTCAAGACGCCGCAGCACGTCGTGAATGGTTGGCCCAGGCCCTTCTCGAAGTTTTGGAACAATCGGGCACCGACTCACCAGCATCTTCGATGACTCTCGATAGTAACTTCCGAGAGATGCTTGCACAGTTCATCGAGACGACCACCAACGAAATCAACAATCTGAAGCAACGGGTAGCAGCGCTTGAACTCTTCCATACGTAGATTGCTACTTGCGCCCTGCATCAGAATCAAAGTTAGGTGTACCATAGTACTACTCTTCGATTTCTTAGTCAACCGGCACAGACCGGGTAGGTGTGTGTGGAATTCCTGTTTCTAAGGAAGAGACCTTTTGAAGACTTTTCATCTTTGAAGACCATCGGACATAGCGAGTAATGTTGAATGCAGGGGGGCAATCTGCCCAGTCAGAGTGATTGCCCAACGAAGAGGCTCTGACTAGGCACTGAAATCAGTCTGGGACGCTGGACTGACGTACCTGCAGTGATGTCCAAAAAGAAGACATCTGCGTGAGCATGTAGTCTTGAGACTACAGACGGACTTGTGTAACCCAATTCCACCTTCTGTTCTACTTGGTTTTTTTGAGTACTTCGTTCTATGTAGTTGGCTGGTAGAAGAAGTTGTAGAGCATCTGAAGATATTCCAGCAATTTTGAAGCTCTGAAGACCACCTTTGTCGAAGCAGTACAGAAAGAGTGCACAATTCGAAGCGTGAAGAGAAAGATGATGATTCGAGACAACCAGCTCAGACTGGGTATGTGTGTGTGTGTGTGTGTGTGTGTGTGTGGGTGTGTGTATGTGTGTGTGTGTGTGGGGAACCCAAACTACCACGGGACAGTGACGTTGAGAATAGCGATGTTGAGACTAAGAGAAGTCACCGTGCAGGGGGTAACAGGGATGCATGCTGGACTGGCACCAACGAAGACGCCAGCATTGCATCTGTGAAGTGAGTCAGGACGCTGACTCGTGTACCTGCAAAAGCTTGTGACATACTCCATCGTGCAAGTCGTACATTGATTTCATCTTCATATTCGCTGTGTACTGCTTCGAGCACGACTACCAAAGCATAGAGTGGAATACATGTGCAAGGTTGAAGGTGTCTCTTGGCTTATTTCGATGGTAAAACAGCGACAAGGAAATCATGAGCCTCTTGAAGCCCCACCAACAACGTTTTCCTTTGAAGTTTCTCATCGGAGTCATTGAACTCATTGATGAGTGAGAATTGACCACGAATGAACATGCTACCAGCGAAGCCTGGGTGTTCGAGTGTGAATTGGGCATGGCCTTATCCGTCACGGCGCCGTTACCGCTGCTCTCGAGGCAGTATCCCTTGAAACAGTGCCCCGAGTGGGACGAGTGATCCTTGGCTAGGTTCATAAGAGACCCCAAATGTCTTGAATCCGGAAAGCACATGCTGATCAAGAGGACCAGCGCAGTCAGATTGAACTTCCTTCGTTTTGAAATCCGCTTGAAGTCTGCATGCATGTAATGTAACACAAAGTAAAGCTACTAGTGCAAGACCCTGGGCATTCATCATTCTTTTCTTTTGGTTTTTCTTTTGGTCTTCTTGGGGTGTCTTTTTAGTATTAACTGGTGTAAAGACGCACGTAGCAGCCCTGCGACACAGCCATGGAGATCAACATACAAATCAAGAATGCGCAGCCCGAAGACCTGCTGCAAGCGTTTGCAGCACTGAGCGGAGGAGCTACATCCTCAACGACAGCGGCATCCCCAACTGCAGCTTACACCTCAGACCAAGGGAGACCGCCATTGAAAAGAATTCGCAAAGAAGCCCGTGCCACGACGGCTGCAACAAGGAGATCCCCGAGCCTATTATTCAGTCAAGAAGAGCTCCAGGCATTGCAGGCAGCGAACCCACAGGGAGCAACGCAAGACTCCACAGCCGAGGACACCGAGCAGAGTGCAGTTGGATCTGGTGCAAAAGCAAAGCGGAAAGCTCAGCCATTTTCTGCATTCCGCAAGCACGAGGGACGCACTATGTCCCCTCGGCCTTACTTCCAAAGAAGTGACCAACTTGGAGCAGGAGAAGCTCCACCTACGCCGAGACCCACATCCTCGTCGGGATTGCCTGCACTACCACCAGTACCACTATCAGCAACGTCAAGTGCAAGAACCACCAGACCCCTGCTGGTGCGAAAGAGACCTATTGACTCCAGATCTCCGAGACGCAATTCCTCACGAAGGAGCCCCAGCGATTCAAGAACCACCAGACCGCGGGCGGTATTAAGATCCAGATCGCACACTCCCAAGACAAGATCCAGATCTCACGCTCCCAGGACAACATCCAGATCTCACTCCCCCAGGGCAATGCAGCGCTCCAGGGCTTCGGGCCTCAGCAGCACAGGCACTTCGACAGCACCAAAGACGCAGTCACAACGACCCAAGATTGACCCCAAGCTGTACGAGACTCCGCGGATGCCTTCAACGATTACATTCCACAAGAACCTCAAGCAATTCAGAGTCAACTGGAGAGACATTGAGATTCCGCAGTTCCCCATACATGACTCTACTAAGCAGTATGTAGATGCACTTTGCGCTGCAGCGGAGTTCAGGATCAACAATGGGGTTCTCTTGGAGCATGACCTAACATGGGACAGAGGAGGAGATCCAACTCCAGAGACAATGAGGAGATTCTATTTCTTGCAGTCTTCGGATCTTACTCTGCAAGACCCTCCTCTACCTACTCGGCAAGAAAAGATCCTGTTTTGGTCGCATGCAACAGATGTGGGGGCGTTATTCAACATGTTGAAAGAGCGAAACATGCGTCCGATGAATGCGCATGGAGTGGCAGCATTCGGCTGCAACATATTCTATGCGCTCGGCCACGAGATGTCCGGATCCGACATCGACGAACACAACCTGACCCGGGTGATTTTCAACACCACCCGCAGCGCCAAGAACCTGGCAGGCATCGTCGTGGGTGGCCGTGCATGGGGGATCTCTCCGCAAACACCTTGGTGGATCCTATGAAAAAGCTCGTGCAGCCACTGAAGAGGATGAGGTGCTCAAGGATGCGAATGCAAAAGCTTATTGCGTATCTCGCAACAGATATTGCTTTACATGCATTGCTTTTGAGCAACTGATGACGCCGCCTTCCACAGCGAACACCCTCATCTCCCAGTACCAGAAAGCTGCAGGCATAGCTCCACAAGGAAGAGCCCGACTTGCACTCATCTAGCAGCGCACCCACTGCAGCACCATAAAAGCTCTTCCTGAACATCCCCCTTGGCAATGTGCTGCAAATCTTCCACTGGCTTACAGCCGGCAACAACAACTGCGACGCCGCAAAACGCATTCTTCGCAGCAAAAGATGTATATGCATTTTATGCCCTTTGTGCCACTGCAAGCTTTACTTTTACTTTGTTGTATTGCCTTAAAACTTTTGTCGATAGCCTTTAGTGTCCAAACGGTGCCCTCAGACGTTAGAAAATCTCACACGCAATGGCGAACACATGGACTGGATATTGGCCCCAGGGAGCATCGGATACAACGTGGTGGGCATCAGGCAGTGGCAGCGCATCAAGCCAAGGCGACCCAATATGGTGGTCTCAAGCATCGATGCCGACTCCAGCATCCACGCCGACGCCACCATCCACGCCGACGCCAGCATCCTTGTCGACACCAGCATCCTTACCGACGTGGCCACCTATGCCTCCACCCGCCGCTAGTCCATCTACTCAACCTTTGCCGCCGCCTCCACCACCCTGCAACACACCGCCTGAAACAGCGAATGCAGCAGGCACACCGGCGACACCGGCAACCACGGCACGGGTACCACTTCCCAGTCAGTTTTCAGAGGACCCGGACCATTATGATACGAACCTCGTATTCAAAGCAACTTTGAAGAGGACCATAGAGCCCACGGCTTGGAGCCGTGCCAAAGGACTTGCAGGCATGGACATCCGCGATGTCACCGTTGCACATCTTTGCAGACATGGCATGGAGGAATTTGGACTTCGAGGACTTTCCCACGGCAAGTTCACCGGCATGATTTTGACCCGCAACATCGCCGAGAGCGTCTTCCTCTCCCAGCTTCAAAAGAAGCTCCGCGAGAACAACATCGACGTCGATGCCACCGTCGACGCCCTCTACAAAAGCAAAGGACAAAAAGCCCCTGACAAGGTGAAAGAGGCCATTAACTTTGTCACACCCCTCGTCGACACCATCCTTGACGCCATCAAACCTTGGGCACAGGTACGCAACTATGCCACCAAGAACACCGACGGCGACAACCAAGCAGCTCAGCGCATGCAGGCCCTGGAGGAGCAGACCGCAAAGTACAAACAACGCCTGCGCAGCGCCGGCATCGAGGTCACCCCCCAGAAGTCCCTACCGCTGCAGAATGAGCCAACAGATGGTCCAGAAACAACAGCGGCACCACCAAAGCGCAGACGCCTTACAAAGGGAGCTGTCAAGCAGCGCAACGAGGACATCCTCGCCGAGCCCCACAACGTAATCCGTGCCAGTGGACAGGAGCCACCGACAAGTATGACCTCGATTGCAACTTGGGTCACCAATCTCAAGAAGAACCTCCCCCGAGAAAAGCACGCGGAAGTGGACAGTCACATACAGTCCGTGCAGACCATCCTCGAAGGCGCTAAGTACACCAAGGCAGAGCTACAGGAGATGGCGACACGATGGGGACTCCCCATTTCTCTCACTACAGCGCCAAAGGCTTCGCCCAAGAACCTTCAGCAGCTGATCGCGGCCGTCACCTACCTCGCCGTGTGACACGTGCAGAAAATCCTGAGAGGACCCATAGCACATCAAGAAAGTGCCAATATCTTCCAGCAGCTACAGCAGATAGATAGTGGATTGGGGGCAGTTTTTGCTTTTTCATGTTCCTGCTATTAATAAAGAAGTTTTGATGTGGTTAGTTGGACTTATTCATCTAGTATTCACCTTCCACAGAATGAGGCAATCGCCTGCAGCAGAGCAACTAAAAGAGCGACCTCGAGAAAAAGGCGCGGTTCCAGAGCTCTACACGTTCGAGAAATTCTCCCAGCCCTGTGCAGTCTACGTCAAGCTTTTATTTCCAAGGCTCAACAAGCAAGCCTATGCGACTGCCACCCGAGATGCATCCTTTTGTTACATCGGATCCACCAACATCACTGTGGCCAAGAGAGAATACAACAGAGTCGCAAAACTTCGTCAACTACAACAACTCAAACTACCCAAAACCGAAAGTGCCATTCGATATTGGAACGACTCCCAGACCTACCAGCACTACAGCACCATTCTTCTTTCGCAACACTGGGAGTACATTGACGCCTGGGCCGAAGAACACAGCCTGATTCAGAGATGGCAGCCCAAGCTGAACTACCCGTATGTCACGAAAGAGCTGGTCAAGAAGGCGCATGGTTTGGTCCCCAAACATCAACAACCACATCTTCGCCACCCACCAGATTCTCTGGGACGACAACTTTTCAAAAAACTCCGACGAAGAGTACAAGGACAGAGACCTTCGCTTGTCAATGCTCTACCTAAGCAGGCCCAATTCTGGAAGCTCTTGTATTCCATATCCAGCGACACCAAGCAAGAATTTGAGGTCTCCAAGGAGCTGCGCAGCGGCAAGCACGACGCGGAAACAGTTACCCTGCTCTACAGACTCGCCAACTACATGGAGCAGCCGTGGAGATCAAAAGCCCGAGCCAGACTACGCAAAGTCCTGCAGTTCAAGAACGCATCGATCCCAAAGCACAACAAGCCCCTAAAAGTTCCTCTCCTTGCACATGCGTCGCATCGCACCAACATCGAAAAGCACCTGGTGCGACTCAGCAGGACTCACCGACATGTACTTATACCATACCATCTACCCACCAAGACAGTCCAGGAGGCAACGCATCCCTCCTTACAGCAAGTTCTTTGGAACCACAATCGGAAAGTCACCGACATGGGCAGACACTGGAAGCCTACAGAGTGTCAGTGCGCCAAATTCATCAAGCAACATCCGCGAGCACAAGTACATGAAGGACACGTAGTCACTGGCTTGGAAACCCTGCAGCTACCCCACACACACCAGACCTTCCGCAGCGTTTCGGCCGGGAATGCCTTCTACTCCTCCAAGCAGCGCATCAAGAGACAACATCAAGAACAATTCCAACGATGGCTCAAGCACCACCAATTTCCTCGAGATCAACGCATACTTGACGACTTTGACACTTTCTTCGAACAAGAGTGGAAGCATCATAAACTACAGCTTCTGCGAGAGCCACGACTCACGCACAGACTGGCAAAAAACATCTTGGCCATGATCCCTGACGACTACATCGTGCACAACGAGGACCATGCCAACGCGCACCTCATGATCTACTGCCCGAACATCTACAACCAAGCAGCCTACAATACTTGGATGGACAAACAAACATTTCGAATGTTAGACGCCGACCCTGACGAGATCAAGCAGAACATGCAGAATAATACCCCCAAGGTGGTCGCCAAGCACTATTCCAAGCTCCTTGCCTATGAAAAGCCCCTACCGTATGGGTATATACTCATGAAACGGAAAAAGCGATGGGCCAAAGGGAGGACTATTATCGCGTATAGCAATACGTGCATCGGCAAATTGCTGAAGATCGCGGCCCTAGCGCTACAACAGATGTTGACGATAACCTGGCCCAACCATTTTGGCGATGTCAGCTCGCCGCAGCTTGGGAGGAAATACACCAACTCTTCCACAACAACGAGCACCTGTACCCGGAGCGACACTTGAAATTTCTCAACCACGATTTGGTCGGCTTCTTTAATTCGATACCACAATCCGATATCCTACAAAGCATCCACTTCCTCACCTCCCAGTTCCTTGACGAGCACAACTCCACCATCACCGTCGATCCTCACAGCAAGATCGCACCCGCACATTCCGGCAGATCAACGCACAGCCTGAAGTCCAACATGGTCAAGGTGCAGGCAGAACACATACCCGCCATCATCCAGTTCAGCTTCGATGCTTGCGCATTCACAGCCATTGGGGAGGTCTTTCAGCAGACTTGTGGCACCTCCATGGGAAATCAAATCAGTCCCATCCTCTCGACATGTGCAATAGTGGCCACAGAAATCACATGGCTAAGAATGTATGGCCAGTTCGTCAGCAATGCCCATCTCCACGACAAGTTCTGGATTCGCAGGTACGTCGACAACAGAGCCATCATAGTCGATGAAGATGAGCTTCCCTACACTTCTACAAGAAGCCAGTACAACTGGAAGATGAAGCGTGTGATGATTTTCTGGGATTTCGCATTCACGCAGATAATCGCCAAATTACCTACAATCTCCACCGAGAAGCTTGGAGATATCGACTTCCCCAGTCAGCCGGCTCCACAAAGCTACGCCTCAGCGGGTACCACAGCAGAAAACACCTCATCCGCACCATTGCCTACCCTGAAGATGTAGCCAAGAGACAACTACAAGAGCTGGACGACCTCTACGGCGACTTGGGATTTGCGCGCCTTCTCGAAAACTCAGCAGAGTCCCGACACACGCAAGGTATTAGCAATTGTGATGACTCAGCCACTTTTCTTCAGTTTTTTGGTTCAAGAGGGCATTGGTAGGATACAGAAGTAATATGACTAAAAAGCAGCGCATCAATGACGCTGCAAACGCCGCAGAGCTCACCGACATCGACACCGACTCCGAGACCGCGGAATACGCAGCTAGACTACCACATGGACTACCGCTAGACATGAGTGCCCCCGCAGTCTTAGCAGAAGCAAAAGATGATCCAGTAGAGCAAGAATGTGAACTGCTACTCCAACAAAGATACATTCCCTTCGAGCTCTTCCCATGGCTCTCCACCCAGCTCAACTCCGAGTTCCTTCGAGCTTCGGCACTCACGAAAGCAGGCAGAAGAGCAACGGCATACACAGTCGGCACCTACTACCACGTGGGCAGCATTGGCGTGCGCACCAACACGAGGCAAAGACCTTGGACGGCAGCGATACTAGCATACCTGGTACGAGCTTGCACCCATACTCCATTCTCGACTGTCTCCCTACTTCGCAATGTGCATATGCGCACACATCGAGACAAGTACAACAAGCCAGGAAGCCTCAACATCGTGATTCCGGTCTCTACCTTCAGACAAGGACACCTATGGATTGAAGAAGACGACGGACCTGATCTATCTCCAAACGGACAACATCGTGGCCGCAACCTTGAGATCAAACTACCCGGAATCGAGTTTAGTCCATTCAAGCTTCACGGTACATGTCCATGGAAATCCGACCGCCTGATCATCTCGGCCTACACCACCAACCGCACCGAGGACATCTGTCGAGAAGACAAAAGATACCTTCGCATGCTCGGCTTTAACCTCGCATAATTAGAATCAGCACAACGCTGTGAACAAAATTCAGTGCCAGAAGCAGGACGAGGCTACGGAAAACAGATCAGTCTCCTTAACGCTTTGCGATTTCAGGTTCGTACCTTAGGTATTTCTGGTGGCCGTGCCGTGTCTCAAGCTTGTAAAGTCCTCCAGTCCTTGCGATCCAACCCGTGACAGCATCAATGCTTCGTGACCGCAACGCGTGGTACTCAGACGGAGCCGAGCACCGCACAGATGTGCCGACAGCCCAGCTCAACGACATGTACCAGGTGGTCAACCAGCTCAGCATTTCACAACTCCTGGAGTTGGCGGAGTACGTGGCGCGCAGATTGCGAAATGCAACCCGATTCATGTTCGGTGGAGTCAGGTGCTGCATTCCATGCCAACAGTGTAAAGCTGCCAACTACTGCGACCCCAACTACGTCGTCCAAACATGTGCCCACACGTCGCACTCACAAAGTTCGGAAGAAAATCACATTTGGCATGGACGGCATCTCTGCTGGTACCACGCGGACTAAGGAAGTAGACACACACAACCAGAGAGAGCGAGCTGAAAAAGATCGAGCATTACGACTTCACCTCAGCAGTTTTGATTTGACTTGTCGGTTATACGTACCTAGTAAGCCACTCGTCTCAAGCATAGAGCTTCTTTTTCCTGACCCAGCAACCGTAACCTCGTAGCAATGCGCCGGGGAAGACGCACATGGGATGGGGAGCGCCGAGAGGAAGGACCACGTCAAGCAGGACCATCGCAGCTTGACACCCTGTACAGCATCGTCAATCAGCTCAGCATGGTGCAGCTACTAGAACTCGCGGAGTACATCATCCGAAAAACCGCACGCGAGTCACGCTACATGTTCGGGGGCGTCAACTGCACATGCAACTGTCAACAATGCGAGGTTGAACATCGCAGCAACCCCGAGCTTGCCATCATGTATTGCTCCCATACGTCGCTATCGCAGAGCTCTGAAGAACATCACCAGCGACAGGGACGGCATCTATGCTGGATTCATGACACCGACTAAGACGTGTGGCCAATCGGTGACCATCAAAAAGAAGATCGAGCAACAATCAAGGTTTCAGTTGCTCACTACTTGCCGGCCTGCATATGAGCGTTCTTTTGCTGCTGTTTTGGTTCCTTTTATGTGAATTTCATAGTAGTAAAAGCAGCCATGCCGAAGCGAAAAGCGGGAGAAGCTGGACTTCCATGGTACTCCACGCGGAGTCAGTGCTTTCGGATGACAGTGGAAATCCCACCTGACCGAATCTCCAGGGAAAGACATATGTTTCTACACGTGGTACTATGCCTTGGAGATTCCATACTGCAAGCGCGGAAAATCTTCTCATACCGCATCGAAGAGATCACCGGCAGAGTGCCAGAGATTGCAGCATTCTTTTTCGAGACTAAGAGAAGTCATCGTGCAGGGGGTGCCAGGGATGCATGCTGGACTGGCACCAACGAAGACGCCAGCATTGCATCTGTGAAGCGAGTCAGGACGCTGACTCGTGTACCTGCAAAAGCTTGTGACATACTCCATCGTGCAAGTCGTACATTGATTTCATCTTCATATTCGCTGTGTACTGCTTCGAGCACGACTACCAAAGCATAGAGTGGAATACATGTGCAAGGTTGAAGGTGTCTCTTGGCTTATTTCGATGGTAAAACGGCGACAAGGAAATCATGAGCCTCTTGAAGCCCCACCAACAACGTTTTCCTTTGAAGTTTCTCATCGGAGTCATTGAACTCATTGATGAATGAGAATTGACCACGAATGAACATGCTACCAGCGAAGCCTGGGTGTTCGAGTGTGTGTGTGTGTGTGTGTGTGTGTGTGTGTGTGTGTGTGTGTGTGGACGAGTCTCGCCCGCGCGGCCTTGGCCAGAGCAGGCCGGGAGGGTCTTTAGTCGCGGAAGAGTCTCGCCCCCAGGGCGCGCGCGACCTTGCCCAGAGCAGGCCCGGGAGGGTCTTTAGTCGCGGAAGAGTCTCGCCCCCAGCGCGCGAGCGGCCTTGGCCAGAGCAGGCCGGGAGAACGCGCGCGGCCTTGGCCAGAGCAGGCCCGGGAAATTCTTTAGTCGCGGAAGAGTCTCGCCCCCAGGGCGTGCGCGGCCTTGGCCAGAGCAGGCCGGGAGGGTCTTTAGTCGCGGAAGAGTCTCGCCCCCAGGGCGCGCGCGACCTTGCCCAGAGCAGGCCCGGGAGGGTCTTTAGTCGCGGAAGAGTCTCGCCCCCAGCGCGCGAGCGGCCTTGGCCAGAGCAGGCCGGGAGAACGCGCGCGGCCTTGGCCAGAGCAGGCCCGGGAGGTTCTTTAGTCGCGGAAGAGTCTCGCCCCAAGGGCGCGCGCGGCCTTGGCCAGAGCAGGCCCGGGAGGTTCTTTAGTCGCGGAAGAGTCTCGCCCCCAGCACGCGCGCGGCCTTGGCCAGAGCAGGCCCGGGAGGGTCGTTAGTCGCGGAAGAGTCTCGCCCCCAGCGCGCGCGCGGCCTTGGCCAGAGCAGGCCCGGGAGGGTTCTATCAGGGTTGTATAAAGGGTTTAGGGTTTAGGGTTTGGGAGTTTCCAAAAATTAGGGGTACCTTTAAAGGGATCCTTTAAGGGCTTCTCTAAGGGATCTATAAGGGTTGTATAAAGGGTTTAGGGTTTAGGGTTTGGGAGTTTCCAAAAATTAGGGGTACCTTAGTTTGGGGTTCTTATAGTAAGGATCCTACTATTTAGGGTACTATATTGGGGTCCCCTATTTTCGGAAACCCCCATGTAGCGTAAGAGTAACCTAGGAAGAAAAAGGGTGCCCTTTTTGGGCTTATAAGGGAACCTGAACCCTAACAAAAAGGGAATAAGGGCCTACTCTAGGTCCTAGCACAGCTTTTGAGCCACAGAAGGGCTGTTTGTTTTGTTTTCTTTAAGGGCCCTTTTCTCTCTCCTTCAACAACCGGGTCCCAAAAAGTCCAAACTTTCTAAGATGGAGCCATTATATAAGGCCAAAAAGTTTAAAGATCCCCCGTTCACTATCTAAGTTTTCCAATCTGCACTCATAGAAGGGCTTGAGTCGTTGGTTTCAGGGTTTAGGAGTTAGGGTTCATGGTTCAGGGTTCAGGGTTTAGGAGTTCAGTTAAGGTGCGGGGTTTAGGGAATAGGGTCTGTATAAGGGCTCGTAAAAAAGGCGTATGAGGTTCTGCTGCAGATATAGAAGGGCTTTGTTCTGTGGACTCGATTTATAAGCCGGAGCCCTAAGCAAATAAGGCTTCTTACAAATTTTACGGTCTTCGGGCTTGACGGCTTCTCGAAATTTTCAGGGTTTCAACGGCTTGCGGGTGGCGCGGATTGCACAGGATTTTATGCGTTCTAGAGGCTAGGGCCCTTTTAGGGGTACGCGATTCATTGCGGCTTTTGGGCTTGTGGAAGAATAAACAAAAATGCTGGAAGAGGTGTGTGTATATACCACTACATGTGCATGTACATACACATACACACACACATAAACACATACGCACACACACACACACACACACTTATATACATGCATGCATATGTTTACACACACACATACACGCATGCGGACATACCTACCTACCTACATACATACCATACATAACACACATAGCATACATAGAATGCATAACATGCAATCCACCCACCCATCCATCCTTCCATCCCTCCGTGCGTGCCTGCCTGCCTGTCTGCATGCGTGCCCGGACAAACACACAGACACGGAAACAAACACACAGACACACTTACATATGTACAGGCGAACCCTACGACATGTAGAGGATTGGATGTACATTAAATCATCTAGGGACTGTTCTCAGGCTTGCTGATGGCTTGCGTTTTGCAACCCCTCGTTTACGGCAACTTGTTATCAGTCGCGGACATCCCGTGTTGGAGAGTGCTTGCAGTCGAGCGTGTGGCGTGCGATTATGACGGCGGCCGTGCGTGTGTTATCGTGAACCTGAAAGCGTTGAACACCGGATTAAGGACAATTAGTGCTGGGATTCCCTAGACATGACTCTTAAGGATTGAGGCTATTGGGTTTCCAACTTTTGGGCTTCTACTGATTCTACTGTATCTTATCTGCGAAAACTGAGGACGCCGCGATGCTGTAAGAACCACTTGCCAGCCACAGGGGGCAACTAAGCACCTGAAAGGCGCTTGTCAGCAAGCATACTCCGCGATTCTCATGCAAGAAGGCTTTGGACCCCCCGAAACCCTAAAGCCCCAAAACCCTAAAACCCGAAACTTTCTGACATTTTCACCGGATGAAGCACTTATATATACGGGCCCCTCGTAGGCTGAAATGCCCGAGAGTGTTCGCTGTGCCCAGGGCTGCAAGAAAGCCCTTGGGCCCTAGGGTTTAGGGTGAGAGCCGCGAAGAGGATCCAGTAGAGGGATTGAGGTGTAGGGGGTTCAGGGGTTTTGGTGTTTAGAGGCTTGAGGTTGCGGTTCTGAACCCTCCAAACAGGGAGATAAAGCTCAAAAAGTTTTGGAAGGCTGCGGAGCTTGGACACCCGTTTCCTTAACGATTAACAGGCGATTTCCCACAAAACTCAATGCTCCGTGAAAACACAGGATCCAGCTATGCTATTCGGCTCCCATCCACGAGATATACTAAAAGCCCCAAGTGTCCACAGAAAGGCTGTAGTGATTAGCATAAGGGTCTTGTGGGGGATGTTAGAGTATACTGTATACTTCTATAGGGACAACATAAGAAAGCAGAATTGGTCCCAGCCCTTGGGCGGATGCGTAGGCTCCTACATAGGGTCGAGTTTGTTTCGGAAACTTGGTGTCTAGGATAGGGTTTAGGGTTTAGGGTTTTGGGTTTAGGGGATCCTTGGAGAAGGATGCAAGGCATTCAAGCAAAGTAAGAACACCTGACTCAATTGGGAGTCTACGAGAGCGGTCCGAACAATTACCAGCCAACTATAGTTCTGCAGCTTTCCCATTGCAACTATAGCCCCAAATGCCAAACCCTACTCTAATTATGAAGGCCCAGTTATTACTTACCTTTGTCGG